AAAACTTTACTGAAGAACATAAACCGTGAGATCTCTCAAACTAAGAAACATGAAATGTTCAAAATTGGAAGCATGGAGGCTTTCAGGACATCGGTATAGCTGACCTCAACTTCACTCTCTTACCTCCTATTTCAGTGCTTAGGCCAACTGTTTATCCTTTCTTATCTCCCTCCTGGAATCTCCTCATCTCCTGTATTCTCCTAGCCCTCCCATGTGAAATCCTCCCAGTTCTTTAAGGTCCAGGCAGATATTGTCTTTTTGACAATATTTTGTTTGATTCCTTGCTAGCTGGAAGTACTCAATCTTTCTTGAACTCTCATTGCATTAAATTCTCTCTATTACGGTTGTTTTAAAACATGCCTTTATCTCCTATAGTACAGGAATGGTCTCATTTCTCTAAATGCTTAGAGAGTTTTTGGTTTAGTTATTATGTAAATAGATTCAGGGTTCTACAAAGCAGTCCTTTCTAAAAGTAAATTGTTTAATAGGTTTACAATCTTAACCTGAATCCTTTCTATCTACCCCTTAATGTGTATGGGATATTTGCTTTAGTCATTGCTGACAGGTGACTTTTGATTTTTGTCTTTCAGTCTTACCTCCAGTATTAGTGCCTCGTCATAATGAATTCAATCCACAACACAGCCTTCTGGTTCAGTTTAGAAACCTGAGCCACAATGAACCGCACATGCCACAAAATGCAACTTTTCCAGATTCTTTCCACCAGCCCAACAACACTCCTTTTCCCTTATCTCCAAATAGCCCCTATCCCCCTTCCCCTGCAAGCAGCACATATCCCAACTCCCCAGCAAGTTCTGGACCAGGAAGTCCATTTCAGCTTCCAGGTAAGAATTTATTTTATTAATAACAAAAAATAATCCCTGAGAATCAGCAATTGTTCTTATACTGCTGGCCCTCTGGATGAACTGTTATATGCCAAGAGCTAGCTACTTTTGACTCTATAATTTTTAGTAATTGTTTGATTTTCAGAAGAATGTTGGATTTTATTTTGCCAAGTACCATATGTTTAGAAAAATGGAAGTAGCCATACTTGACTCAAAGTCAGATATTTTTGTATAATTTATAATACTAAGTGCCATTATTGAGTGCCTTTTATAAAACTGTGGGAAAAGATGCATTAAATTTAATCTTCGGAACAGCCATGTGAGATAGATATTATTCCTGTTTTACAGATGGAAAAATAAATTGATGTTAACCCCAAGAGTTTAAGTACTTTGCCTAAGGTTGCAAAGCTAGTAAGTGGGAGGTTCAGACTCAAGTTTCTTTGACTGTAAAGTCTGTGCTTTTTAACTTTACTACACTGCTTTCAAATCTTTTTAAATGTTGGAAGGTTAAAATGAGCCCCATTTGTCTTTAATTAGATAACTGATGAATTGATTTGCCTGGAGAAAGATCATAAGTAAATTTCATAAAGTTTCCAGCTTTTGTTAATGACATGTCTTGTAGGAACACATCTTATGTCACTCGATCAAATATTTGAATGCCTACTCAGAAAATACAGAGAACAATCTCGTGACAACAGGTGGGGAGAGGGTTGAGGACCTGGGAGATAGGGGTGAAGGGTTAAAGAAGTACAAATTAGTAGTTGATAGAGGTCACAGGGATGGGGAGCGTGGCATAGGGAATGTAGTCAGCAGTAATATAATGCAGTGATCTCCAACCTTTTTGGCACTAGGGACTGGTGTGCCTAATGATCTGAGGTGGAGTTGAGGCTACAGTGGTAGCGCTGGGAAGTGGCTGCAGATACAGGTGAAGCTTGGCTCCTTTGCCCGCCACTCACTTTCTGCTGTGTGGCTCAGTTCCTAACAGGCCATGGGCTGGTCCACAGCCTGGAGGTTGAAGACACTAGATATAATGGATATGTGTAGAGCCAGAGGGGTGATAGAGTAATCAGGGGGATTGTTTCATAAACTATATAAATATACTTGAAACTAATAATAAAATGCTAAAAAAAAATACTTGAGTGCCTATTGCAGGTACAGTCTTATGTAAGTATATTCTTTGTGGTTTCTCTGCACCAAAATTACCAGTTGATGCAGGTTTTTTGGGGGGATGGGGGAAGAGTAGTTAAGTGCCAGCTGTTAATATTAGATATTTGTTCAAAAACTAATTTTCATACTTTGTCCTAGATTCAATGCTGATTGTAGCTCTGTCTCAGAATATATCTTGTATAAACCTTGGGGTGAAAGACAGTTTTTATTCAGTATTTGTAATTTGTTGAATCAAAGAAGTATAGCTGTAGCTTTTGCAAAGATTTTCAACCACAAGTGTTGGAACTCAAAAGATTTTCTAGTTAACATTGTTTCCTAAGAGAATTATCTAGCCATTTAATAGGGCACAACAGCCATTTTAGGACTTTGCAAAAGAATTAGACAACTGCTCGTAGTGTTGATGGAATTTTGAGGGAGTATAGCTTTATTTTCCAGTTTTAAATAACAATATACAGTATATGATGATCTTGATAATTTAATACATACCCCAAACTAGGATAATTACATCCTTCAGATTGATTTCCAGTAGTTGCAGTTTCTCTGAGCATATGAGTCTAAGCAAATAAAGGCAGAATTCTTGGCCTTAAATTGTCTTCTGTGCATTTTAGCACTTATCTTACTATGCTGGATTGGACCAAATACATGTGGACTTAAAGTAGGTTTTCAGTAGCTAATGGTTGTGCTGTTTTTTTCTCCTTTTCCCTTGCTGTAAGATGCATTCTACATTTTTGTATGTGATATTCAGTAATGAATCCAACTGGTAAACTTATGAACTTTTTAATGTCTCTTTAGAATAACTGAGCAGGTTAAGATTTTAACTATTCTTTTGGGACTTTAACTTGTCTCATTTTCTTCCTCTTAGCTGATACTCCTCCTCCTGCCTATATGCCACCAGATGATCAAATGGGTCAAGATAATTCCCAGCCCATGGATACAAGCAATAATATGATTCCTCAGATTATGCCCAGTATATCCAGCAGAGGTAAGAGAAATACTCACCATATTTATTTTGTTGTTGCTGTTTTGTTTGCCTTTTTTTTTTTTTTAAACTTCTTGGCCACTTTTTAAAAACAGCTTTATTGAGGTATAATTTATATACCATATAAATTTTGTACCATCGCCACAATCTAGTTTTAGAATATTTCCATAACCTTTTAAAAATATCCCTTGTGTCTTTGCAGTCTATCCCCACTCTTAAACCCAGCTTCAGAGATCCTCTATTCTGTTTTCTGTATCTGTAGATTTGCCTTTTCTGAACATTGCATATAAATAGAATCACATCTGTAGTCTTTTGCATCTGGCTTCCTTCACTTAACAATGTTTTTGAGATTCATCTATATTATAGCACGTATCAGTAATTTATTTGTTTTTATTGCTGAACAGTATTCCATTTTATGGATGTACCACATTTTGTTTATTCATTCACCAGTTGATGGACATTTGGATTGTTTACAGTTTTTGGCTAGTAAGAAAAATGCTGTTATGAACATTTGCATATAGGTCTTTGTGTGGACATTGTTTTTCTTTTTCTTGGTTAGATACCTAAGAGTGGAATTTCTGAGTCATATGGTAAGTTTAACTATTTAAGAAAAACTGCCAGACTTCTCCAAAGTAGCAGTACCATTTTACATTCTTACCAGTAATATATGAGAGTTCCAGTTCCTCCACATCCTCCTAACACTTATTATTGTCTGTCTTTTTTATTATAGCCATTCTAGTGGGTATAAAGTGCTATCTCATTGTAGTTTTAATTTGCATTTCCCTAATGAATAATGATGTTGAACATTTTTTATGCACTTGTTAGCCATTCTTGTATCTTCTGTGGTAAAATGTTTATTTAAATCAATTGCCCATTTTTAAATTGTGTTGTTTGTTATTATTGAGTTGTAATTGTTCTTTATATATTCTGGATAGAATTCCTTTATCAGATATGTGATTTGCAAATGTTTTCAGTTTCTGGATCATCTTTTCATTCTCGCGATGCTATCTTTTGAAGCACAAAAGTTTAATTTTGATGAAGTCCAGCTTAATTTTTTTCTTTTCTGGAGTATCCTTTTAGTGTTGCATTTAAGATTGTCTATCTCAAGGTCATGAAAATTTTGTTACGGGTTTTCTTCTAGAACTTCTATAAGTTTAGCTCTTACATGTAGGTGTATAATTCATTTTGAGTTAAGCTTTTTGTATGATAAAGATATAAATTCATCTTAGTTCATGTAGATATCCAGTTGGTTCTAGCACTGTTTGTTGAAAAGGGTATCATTTCTGCAGTGAATTCCTTTGGCATCCTTTTCAGAAGTCAGTTAACCATAAATGTAAGCATTTATTTCAGGACTCTCAATTTTATTCATTGATCTGTATATTTGTACCTCGTAATCTTGATTACTAAAGCTATTTTTGAGTTTTGAAAAAAAGAAGCGTTAGTTCTCCAGCTTTGTTCTTCTTTTTCAAAATTGTTTGGCTATTCTATGTTCTTTGCATTTTCACATCGTTTTAGTATAAGTTTGGCAGTTTTTGTTCCCCAAAATCCTTGTTTGGATTTTGATAGAGTTCACGTTGAATCTCTAAATCAATTCGGAGAGATTTGCCATCATCTTCCAGTGCACAAACCTGGAATCTCTATTTAGATCGTCTCAGCTTTCAGTGTAAAACTTTTTATTTCTGCTTCTCTTTTTAAATTGATTCCTAAGTAAGTGGAATTTGTTTAATTTTATGTTTGAATTCTTTATTAATATGTAAAAATACAGTTGATTTTTGTATATTAATCTTGTAACCTGCAACCTTCTCAACTCATCGATTAGTTCTAGTAATAGGTTTTTTTGTATGTGCCCTTGAGGATTCCTTAGAGTCCTCTAAATACAGGAGCATGTTGTCTATGAATAGAAAAGTGTTTTTTCCTATCCAGCCTGGATGCCTTTAACATCTCGCTCTCTCACGTGTACACACGCGCACGCGCGCGCTCTCTTTCTCTG